AATAATAACAACATCAACAGAAACGTCTACGTCGACAACAACATCGTCTACATCAACAACTACACCAACATCGCCTACGTCAACAATAATAACAACAACAACGACAACGTCTACATCAACGACGACAACAACAACAATGTCTTCATCGACCACATCATCATCATCATCATCAACAACAACGTCTTCATCGAGTACCTCGTCAACAACAACAACGTCGACATCAACGACAACAACCAAAACAACAACGTCAACATCGACGACATCATCATCAACAACATCAAAAACAACAACGTCTACATCGGCTACAACAGCAACAACAACACTTCGTACGTAATCTACATTAGATAGTCTGTAATGTTTTTTATAGACCATTAACCATTGGTTAGTGAACATCAGGGATGAGTGAAGAAGATTATTCTTGTCAGCATACTCTATTGTCTTAACACTTAAACTAAACAAAGACATTTGTGAATAGACAGTCAATAGACAATTTCGATCGTTGTCTGCATAGACAAAACATGAAGTGAAAGAATTCTATTACGATAAATTGAATATTATCATCCTAATAAACGATGAAATAACCAAAAAAAGTTCTTATGAGTAATTATGAGTATAAGTCTTTTTTCCGTTCCTATTTTCTAGCATACAATGAATTTGATTATTCTCTATTAGTTTACAAAAGTAGATCTTCCTTTATGTTCCTAGTACACGACAAAGAATTTCTTCTTACATTGTGAACATAAGAACAAACTAATGGAATAGTGTTGCTGATATGCTCGATATATAATGCTCATTCCGTCATCTAGTCGTGTTAGTCCTTCTTCTTACAAATACTTAAATAGTAGATGCAATATAAGTTACTCGTTACTCACATGGAACGATCGATTTTGCATCACCAGAAGATGAGAAAGATATTAGAATACAAAACGAGAGTGCTATGTCGTCAGTGGGAATTATTATATCGCACAAAAATGATATATTTTAAGGACATTGTGTCTATCGAGTTTACGAAATCAATCTATGTGTTATATGTCTAGTCATGTCAGCCACCACTAATTAGACTTTCATACTAAAGTGATCGATGGTTAGCGGTGCTCATTTAAAAAAAACCGTTCAATTTCACTTCAAAGGCATTTGATTGATATTGTATCAAGTGCTTTGAAGGTCAGAGCAATGATGATATCTCCTTCTTCTTCTTCTCTAGTTCTCAGTTGAAAAGATCTCTGCAAATCGTTTTGTCCATCGGAAAAGTATTGAATTTATATTCTCATTATTTCTTTTAGCACCGTTTCCACTCAGCGGATCTACTTTCGTTGGACATAGCAATTGTATAGCGGGAAATGATAGTAATGGTCTAGCAAATCCCTATGGCCTGGCATTAGGTGTTGACGGTTCGCTTTTCATTGCTGATTGTACTAATAGTAGAGTGATGCAGCTAAAACCGAACGCTACAAGCTTAATTATGGTTGCTGGTACTGGTATTTTAGGCAGCAGCTTAAGTCAACTTTATAATCCAGGAGAAATAGT